TTTTTAACCCATTCATTGTATTTATAGTTTTGATTCTGGTAATAAAAGTCATGAAGCAGTAGTTTCTAATCCTTACTGATTGGTAGGAGTTAGTTTGGCAGAGTATGGGAACATTAAGGAATCATTCTTTTAAAAAGATTTCCCAGGTGATTCTGGTATTTGACTTGGGATGGAATCATTGTACTAGAGGGTGTCTAACTTTACTTTAAATATGTGTGATTGAAAATAAGAAATAACTAAACAAATCGTTCTGCATGTTGCAAAAAGATATTTCTTTTCCCATTAATATTTCAGAAAAAATGCTGTTAGGCAGAATCTACTAAAGCTAAGCATATGCCTGCCTAATGACCTAGCAGTTACACCTGAATACATACTCAAGAAAAATGCATGCAATGCGTATGTCCACAAAAAACATATAGAAGATGTTAATTGCAGCTTAATTCATAAGAGCTGCAAACTGGAAACAACTTAAATATACAGTGAATGGATGAATAAATTGTGGTACCTTCTTAGTAATTAATAAGAACAAACTATCAATACATCCAACAACTTAGATGAATTTCACAGACTTAATGTTCAGCCAAAGAAACGAGATACAAATGTGTACATGTATATGATAACTTTTATATGATGATCAAGAAAAGGTAAAACTAAACTATGGTAATAGAGTCAAATGGCGATTTGAGCTGGGAGGGAGCACAGGGGAATCTTCTGGAGTGCTGAAAATATCCTGTCTTTGATGATTTCCCAGGTATATACACATGTAAAAATCACTAAACTGTGTATTTGAGATTTGTCCACTTGATTCTGTATGAGTTGTACCTCAGTAACACACTTGCACAAAAACATTTGTGTGTGTGTATCTTTAGTCGATCTTGAGCAAAGCTCAAACTATCCTTGTCTGTTGAAGCAACTCTTTCTGCTACTCACTTCTAAATACCAACAAATTTCCTACATTGGTGTCTTGTTCAGAGGTATTTATGTAAATGAATCATGCCATGGAAGTTATTCCCATGGCTATATATTCTTCTGTGCTTACATTAAAAGGTTAATAGGATTCTGTGTCATACTATGTCGCTGATTGTTCTATTAATCAAGAATGACAGCTGCTTAGGTGATACTTTATTGTGCATGTTGATACTAAGATTTCAGTATATTTGAAGGAATATTCAGCATATATGTTAATTAAAATGCTTTAGCCACAAATTGTCTTTTGAGATTACTTCTAGATATAGCTTTATGTTAACTCAAACCTAATGGATAAAGTTCAATTTTACTTAACTCACAGAATAAAATAACATATGACTTAAAAAGTCCTTAGAGGATCTCAGATTCTTTTTAAATTCCCACATGATATTTTTGCTCATATGATGCCATGAATCATAGTATAGTCATGTGTTGCTTAATGGGTACGTTCTGAGAAGTGCTTCATTAGGTGATTTTGCCATTTTGCAGATTTTACAGAGTGTACTTACACAAACTTAGGTGGTAGAGCCTACTGTACATCTAGGCTATGTGGCATAACGTACTGCGCCGGGGCTACAAACCTGTACAGCATGTTTCTGTACTGAATACCATAGGCAATTGTAACACAGTGGCAAATATTTGTGTATTTAAATATGTCTAATCACAGAAAAGGTACAATAAAATATGGTATAAGAGATAAAAAATGGTGTGCCTGTATAGG